ATAGGTTTGGGTTTGAATTCTGGTTAACCTGTTGGCTGTGAGCCCCTAGATGAGTTCCTTACCTTCCCCAAACCCCTTTTCTTCTCTATAAAATGGTAACGGTGATGGTGCTATGGTCAAAATAATACCCACCTTATAGGATGAGGATTGAATGAAGAAATACCCAGTATGAGGTTTGACCAGTAGGAGGCCTTCAATTCCCTTTCCTTCTGAAAAGTAGTTATTTGCATCGGTGGACCTTGGATTTCCACACTGGTTATGCATTTATAGGCAACCCCTTATGACTGTCTCATTTTACACAATCATTCCTAACTGCACCAGTGGGGTGTGGAATGTATGTATTGTTAAAAAGCACCCAGCTACCTCCTCTTTGAGGATTGCTGTCTGCACGGAGATACCCCAAGAATCTCTGACAGTTGGACATTTGTGTGATACCTTAACTTATACACTTAATAGCTTTATTTCAACGAAGTAAGGATTTGCCTCCATGAACGGGCAATGCACTAAGCTTATGAAAAAGTTAGTTGATAAACTGTCTTCGCCTGTGTAGTTAGATGCCAGAGACCATTTGGGGGGAAGGATGGGAGAGTTTTGATGGAAATAATAGGAGAGAGATGGAAAGTACTCAGGGCTTAGAGGAGGGTCAGTTGGGCCATACAGGGAAAATGGATAAAAGGGAAGGTGACAGGAACTAAAGACACTTGTCATTTTTCTTGCAGAGCCTCATTTAGCAGGATGTGACTTGGCTGCTCTGGGAGCACCTGCTGCCTCTCACTAGACACTGCTGTCTTTACTCTGTGACGCTGTCACACATCCCATCCCACACTCCCTGTGAATGAGATGTAGACCCATGACTTGAGTCATACACGGCAAGCTTAACCATCTCATTTAAGTCAGATCAAGTACCACAAGCACTTTTATACATGCTCATACTCTTTCAAAATAGTAGGGATTGTGATGATAGTTTGGGGGTGAATTCTGGTTAACCTGTTGGCTGTGTACCCCTGGTGAGTTCCTCACCTTTTCCAAACCCCTTTCCTTCTCTATAAAATGAGATGGTGATAGCAGAATTTCTTTTGTTAAAATCTAAATAGTTCCTCCTATGATAATACATGAATTTTACAAATAAAGTGTGATAACTGCAAATATGGAAGGCGACAGAGAAAGAAAGTGGTCTCAGTCTGCCACGAAGAGCTCATGGTCTGGATTAACTGAGGATCATTGCTTTGAATTGTTCTAAGGATGTATAGGACCAAGTGTCTATAAAGTTCTTATTTAAAGTAATTTTTAGAGTTCAGAGTAAGGGATTTTTAAATTGAAAATACTAAGAGTACCTCTTAGACCAGGCAGTTAGCTTTGAATTGAAGAGATACCGCAAAGTTGAAGGTCAAAGTGACGGCTTTGAGAAGAGTTGGGCGATACCATCACCTGGGGGAGTTATGCCTTCCAGGAGACAGAGGCTACTGGAGTGACAACTGCAGAGTCCCCTTTCCAGGCTGCACCTTAACTGCTTCAGTCCTGCAGACATCTTTAGTAAATAAGCCTTCCTAGGGGGTATACTTGACCCTTTTTCACAGAGCAAACTTCCAAAGACTCCCTGGGTCCTCGTCCTTATATTGCCGTCATTTTCAAGGGAGTCCAAATGCACAGAAATGAAAAAAAAAAATTGTGTGTGATTTTGTGCTCAGATGCATGTGTAGAATCAACGTAGGAGTAAGATTATGGTTATTGGACCACTTGGGGAGAGCTTCATGGGGAGAGATCAGTTTTTGCCGGACCTTGTTGGTGAGTTAAATTTAAAGAAAGACAGGAGAGAGCACAGCTTGCTTCGTTTCTGTGACTCTGTTTATCTTCACTGATGACTCCCGTATTGAAACTCTTGGGAATGAATCACGTGAAAGAGGAAATTTGCCCAGACTGGAAGGAGTAAGTAGTTTGGGCACGTGCTCTGTCAGAATCAGAGCAGCACAGTGGATGTGCGGACACTTCACCAGCTTGGACAAGGCAAGTTCCATCAAGAAAGCCAAAGCATACTATGTATGTCCCAGAGTACAGAACTTACTATGTAGCAAAGCTGCCCAGCCCCCTCCTCTCCCTCAATTAACAACACGCAGATTAAGATCACCGTGCACTTAACACAAGTCTTTGTGCCACCTGGGAATAGCTGGTGGCCCGTACTTCACCCCGACGTTTGACTTGTTTGTTCCATGAGCTGTTTCTACCTCTGAAATGCTATAGCCGTTGGCATTTAAGTTTGAGCATTCCCAGATGTCTATGATGTACATCATATTCTAGTCCTTGCAGCTGGGCTGATGTGACATCTCTTTTTTCTAATGCATCAGCTGTGTAGGCAAAGCCAAAGAATCGACCCGGGCTGTGACCGTTTATGCTTTCACAGTTTGCTCTCTTGATTGGATGCAGCATTGGTCTCTTCTTACAAAAGGCCTATTGGGACTAAACTAGGAAAGTTGGTGTGAAAGTCACTTGGGAATCTGGCAATTGCATTTTCTATAGATTACCTCCCTCCACCAATTATTAGTGCGGCTTTGGAAGGTCATATAAGCTGTGGATAGCCAGCTACCCACACTTCACTGTGGGCCCCTGAGTCTATATCTAAAACATTTAATAATTCCTCAGCAATGAAAGTCAGAAGTTTGTCCACATACATATTTTCTCACCTCAAAATCATTGCCATCACTATTTTCCCAGATGGAGACACGCCAGCCTGGTGTAAGCCTAGGAAACTGGTCCAGCTGCCCAACCCACCACTCACAGGCTCCATCTTCCCTGCCATTCATTTCCCGATTCAGCTCAACAAGCATCTACTGAAGGCCTGTTATGTGTTAGGCACTGATCTTTAGAACCTGCTTTATAGCTTTTTGATCTATCTTCCCTTTCACTTCCTTTCTCCGAAGAACCAGGCAGACAACAGTGTAGGAAATATATATTTAATCGTTCTCTTGAATGGTTAGAACTCTAAAATCGAGTTTTCTGTAATACAGTCGTGATGGCTTCAAAATGCCAGGAAGGCAGCGCTGGACACATGAAGAGCGTGGGAAGGCTGGGAAGGGGGCTGGAAGCAAAGCTTTCTTTCCCATTAGAATTTCATTCCTCAAGGTCTCATTTCAAAGGGGTATTGTCCCTGCTTTCAGAAATCTCTGTGCATTTAAAGGAAGGAACATGTTTGGTGCCTTAATTTGAATTTTGGCCAGGCAGGGTCTGGAGATGTCGAGTGAGAGAACTTGAGATGGAACTCAGGTAACTTTCTCACAGAACCCGGTTTGTAGGGTCCAGTGAAGGGAAAGGAGCTTAGAAGCTCAACAAGCTGAACATAATCTCCTCAGGAATTTCCCTCGGGCCTTGTCAGTTCTGTTCTCGGAATGATGTTATCCTGCTTGCCTAACAGAATTCTGGCTCTGTGCGTGAAGGCAGCGGCCAGAGACGAAACGCCTGTTTGCCTATTTTGGGAAGCAAACAGATTTGTTTGCTCTCCTCTTCTTTTCAAGAACCTTTTCTACTCTATGTCAGGGTTTCTTAACCTTGGCGTAGTTGACGTCTGGGCTGGACAATTCTTTGCGAGACATCCTGTACACTGTAGGATGGTGAACAACCTCCCAGGGCTCCATCCACTAGATGCCAGGAGCGCCTGTCCCCTGTCCAATTTGCAACAACTAAAATCATCTCCAGACATTGCCAAAAGTCTCCTGGGAGATCGGGGAAGCAGAGTCACTCCAGCTGAGTCCCACTGTTCTAGATGATGTTGAAAGCTGAGGTCAGAGCTGCCCACGTAGGATAGAAAACAGAAGCCTCAGACCTTGCGATGACATAAGGCTACTTAGTCAAGGTGAGAGGTCCTTCTCTGTACCATCCACGGATGGACATCATCTGAGACATAAAATGGCATTTGTTGTTTAAAAGGAGAGGCTCAGATTATTTATAAAATCAGTGTTACCAACTATTTTATGATCAAATTATGATCATTTTTTACATATTTGGCACTTTTGAAGTGGGAACATGGAAGCCAAAGCATTTTTGGAACCATCATAATGAAAAGTGAACCATTTGGCTCGGCACCTGTGGCTCAAGTGGCTAAGGCACCAGCCACATACACGTGAGGTGGCGGGTTCGAATCCAGCCTGGGCCCACCAAAAACAACAATGACAGCTGCAACCAAAAAACAGCCAGGTGTTGTGGCGGGCGCCTGTGGTCCCAGCTACTTGGGAGGCTGAGGCAAGAGACCCGCTTGAGCCCAGGAGTTGGAGGTTGCTGTGAGCTGTGATGCCATAGCACTCTACCCAGGGGGACA